TGCAAAGGTAGGGTTCTACCGGCAGCATCGAGTTTGGACGTGCCATATCTACCTGCCTCCCCAGAAAGGCCATAGGGCTCCAAGAACAGTAAGATCATAAAGGGGGAGAAATTAATATTAGCTAGTTAGAAATCGTACAAGTTCCCTTGCTGGCTACCTGCCTATCGTATCGCCATTGACCAATTTACTGAGCGCTCTGCCAAGCGAGCGCTCTCCAATCCCTGGCCGTTACCCTCCGAGCTCTGGCATGACGGCATGAGGAACGTGGACTAGTCAGGGCGCGATCTTCGACTCTATAGACACATTGAACATTTACTACCAGTAGTTGCACGCAGCGACTGGCACTCCGCCACATAGCATTGATGCTTGTCGCATTAAACTAACTCCGCTTCGTATAAAGGAGGAGCAATAACGGTCAAACGAAAGTAGCAAGTGCCAGCGGAGTGTGCCTTATCCCTCTACACTCTCCTACCCATTCCAAAACGCGCGGTATCGCCTTTAAACTTGCCTGTTGAGACCAACTGCGTGCAAGATAGTGGAAGATTTCCCGCTTTATCGCTACTCCCCAAGCACTCAGAAGCGGTAAAACAGTGCGGATAAAAAGGGCGGAGTGGTATCCGACTTTAAAGAGAAATGGAGAAAAAGTACCATGTATTCGCTTGCCAACAACGAACCAGGCCACAAGCAACGCGACCGGGTAGTGCGATGGATCGCTGTTGTCTGAGCGTAGGAATGTGTGAGACCTCTGCCTCGAGATTACAAAAGAGAAAAATGTGTCAAACATATCGAAGTACGCACTAGTGCACTAGGGCATTCGCTCCTTATATGGCAACCTCTACATGCAAATACAGCTGATGCATGCAGCATGATCAGTGTCAAAGGCCCAAATCGCCTGAGAAAGGATGTGCAGATTCGTGAACATTCTCGAGTGTAAGTGCATGAACCTCAGTGTACAGAACATCTCCACCATGAGAACCACACTCAGTCAATGCCTATTGCTCAGAGTAACTATTTCTGGCACACAAGAAGCGCGATGTAGGATCCTGAGGCACACATTTGTACTTCCCACTACATCCTCGATGCTGTTTTACATCTTGCTAAAATGCTGATCACCGAGTTCGGTGCTTCAAAAATTTTCGCTACACTGCAGGGACGGTTCTATATCATGGAAAAGAATCAAGTTTGTGTGCTGGCGTGCCAGAGGACATGTGCACCTTACCTGTGAATGCTGGAAGTACTGTGAAGGTCAAGAAATGCTCATCCATACGAGCCCTCTCCCCTCAAGTCGAAATTGCGAGAGGCGAGGGCAAAAACATCAAGCTCCCATTTTTATAAATTACCAATATTTCTTCTTGAAGTTTCATGTAAACTCAGTTTAGTGTCTCCCCACGGAGGCCTCGAATGGAGCGTTACAGTGGTGGAACCACATGGGCTGACACCACTATTCCATAGCTCTTCCATTTGTTGCAGATGCAATGAAACGTCTTGTGTTCTAAACACAATCATACGGTCTCTGTCCAGTCTATTTTATTGTCCAAAAAGCTTATTCTCTTTGGCAACTGTCTAATGAAACTATCTCTGGCAGTGAAGTTTGATGATGCTGGTACTTCATTGAAGCGACAGATGCCGTCCTGCAGGCAGCTGCAAAAGCAGTAGCTTTGTAGCTGGTACGCGTGCATGACTCATCAGCTATTAAAATGCTTATGAGTGTGTCGATGAGGAGGTGACGACCACGAATGTATCACGATGGAAAGGATTGGCAAGTCCTCAAAGATATCATCAGCCAGTTAAAGATGTGCTGTGCTTTGTACCCCTGAATGTAGAGAAAGAAGTGATCGCGTCCACCTTGGATTGTGGGCTAGGACCAGGTGGCACATGCCCAGATTCCATAGGCTCAAAACCCCATTTGGCTCTTTCTGTTCAGCCAAACGATGCGGGGGTTCATCTAGTTTGCTTGCGAAATATCAAGTACTCCATCATATTCAAAAGGCTCACCGTTTGCTTGTTTAATAGCTACGCCGCTAGGCCTCGTGTGACCATATGACCGGACAATTCGGGTAGACCTTAAATATGTCGTTGATAAGGAAGCTGTTCTTCTGCATTTCGGCGCTTGCGAGCCACAGTTTGAATTTGCCTGCTAAACCTTTCGTAGATCTCCCAAAGCCTGCTGCTGCGCTGTTTCTGCGTAAATAGGCGACTGGTGGGTTCGCCTGAAAGCTTGTGGGGTGAATCACTGCACGTATCCTTATGCCTTAACCATTAACAGTGACACCGTTGAAGTGCTTTTTGGTTTGATGTTCATGCTGCAACGAGCACTTGCTTATCTACACTGGAAATATAAAGCACGGCACATCTTCTACTGGCTGACATCTTTGAGCATTTGCCAATTTTTTCCATCGTCATACATTCGTGGTCGTCACCTCCTCATCGACACACTCATAAGCATTTTAATAGCTGATGAGTCATGCACGCGTACCAGCTACAAAGCTACTGCTTTTGCAGCTGCCTGCAGGACGGCATCTGTCGCTTCAATGAAGTACCAGCATCATCAAACTTCACTGCCAGAGATAGTTTCATTAGACAGTTGCCAAAGAGAATAAGCTTTTTGGACAATAAAATAGATTGGACAGAGACCGTATGATTGTGTTTAGAACACAAGACGTTTCATTGCATCCGCAACAAATGGATGGGCTATGGAATAGTGATGTCAGCCCATGTGGTTCCACCACTGTAACGCTCCATTCGAGGCCTCCGTGGGGAGACACTAAACTGAGTTTACACGAAACTCCAAGAAGAAATATTGGTAATTTATGAAAAAGGAGCTTGATGTTTCTGCCCTCGCCTCTCGCAATTTCGACTTGAGGGGAGAGGGCTCGCATGGATGAGCATTTCTTGACCTTCACAGTACTTCCAGCATTCACAGGTAAGTTGCATAAATCGTCTGGCACACCCACACAAAGAAGTGCTGCATAAAGTATTCGACTAACTCTGCTGTACAAAAAAAACATGCAAACAGCCAAACCGGATATCCATTTTTTATCAATTCCCAATTATATATGCCTAGGGTGTGGGTGAAATTCCAAATGCACACAGATACGCGCCGTTGTGAGCTGCAGCAGCTGTATCGGTATACGATGCGTTGCATGCAACAGGCAGATTGGCTGATGGCATAATCTTGGACCTGCCGAGCAGCACTTCAGTCCACCATTGCCGCGGCCGTGCCTACATTACTCGATTCAGCACAATGAGTGTTGAGCCTGATGCTGTTGCTGAGCATGCAGCTGTCCGTCTTACCATAGTAAAGAGGCCTTGGAGTTTGGGCTACATCAAGCAGATGTCAAAATACACGCTTGGGTCTTCGTAAGAGGACGTGTACCCTAAATTGGCTGATGCTGACTCCATTAAAAAGAGACAGCCAATTCGTTTTCCAGCTAACAGATCTCAGTTTTACACATCAGGTCTGTTCTGGAGAGAGGAGGCCTGCAGTGCAGCCCTTGAGGAAGCCAGTTGGGCAGAAGTTCGTATAGAAACGTGCTGCTTTATGCAAAGGCATTTGGGGATCTCAATTTTGATTCTTTTGAGATAGAGGCGGGTTCTGCCGTTGCACTGCAAGTTGCAGAGCATGGTATCGTTAGCATCCGAGGCCTTTTATTTGACTCTTAACATGCCTGGAAGCAACGCTCTGAGATACCCATTAATTGTAGTCAAGGCTGGAGGGCTAGGCTGACGAGCTGCTGCGGTGGGCCTTCTCGCCGCGCCCACAAGAAAGCAAAGATCGATCCTTTTGCGCGCGGGAACCTGACAGAGAGAGCCAAGGGGTAAACTTCAAGCAGGAAGCGAAGAACATTGCAGCAAATGTGCAAAGGCCGGATGTGCAATGGTGCACTTCGTAGTAGTAGGAAGTGGACAACGGTGCGTGGCTGCTATGCTTCATTTATGCGCCGCTTTTTGCACCTTAATCTAGCTACAGGCCTCTCAGCTGGGGAGTGCATACACCCACACCCACACACACATACATATACACACACACACACATCGGTTCTGATCGCCAGGAAGAGAAAAGATAAGCTCTCAAAGCTCGGGCCTTTCAGTGTCGTCCACGATCCCTTTTTCTAAGCTAGCTAAAACCGAAGAGCCTCTATGCACCTGGCCGCGTGGTGATGATTGACCCTACACATTCAGGAGAATGCGGGGATTCTCGTGAATCCCCGTATTTTGCAACACGAACCATCTTTTCAGCATTTGGGGGTGCTTTATTTAGCCAGGGGGGCCTCACATCCGATGCCGTCAGAAGCAAGGGGGACCACAGAGCCCCAAAACGATACTCGTGCTAAGAGAAGCTTTTGCGGTGCACCTCGACAGGGGGGCAGCGACCTTTCGCTCGGAAGCGGCGTCTCCCCACGAGGATCCAGCAGAGACAACAGAACGGCAAGGGGGAAAGTGCTGTGGAAACAAGTGGCTAAGCAAGAAGAAATCGAGAGGGCCACATCAGTTTCTACAAGGAAACGGCTTTGAGAGCGAGAAGCTCTCATGCACTGACTCCCCAGCATTCCACACCAAGCAGCAACAAGCAAAGGGACTATTTGCTGATTGCCGGATCAGATTTGTCGGGCAGAGCCTCGCACGCTGCAGTTCTCTTCCGCACCACTTACTGCACATGCGGGTGCAACAAGGCCGCTTAAACTGACAGAAGGCGTCCTACAGCCTACTGGCCGAGTCCGCTGTTTTACGCCAACCAAAGTAAGGGCTTCAGGGCCTTTATTTTAAGCACAACTTGCTGCCTGTAGCCCTTCGGGGTCAAAACGCGGAGAGGCATGCAGCAAGCACCCCGCGATCTGGCAGCGCTGTATCAAGTTGCGGAGGCAAGCTGCGGCTGCACACCGCCCTTCCAGCCAAGTAAAATCACACCCGATAACCGCACATATATATACACGCACAAATACACGAGCAGGAAACCTAGAGTGCACTGGTGTCGCCGTAGGAGAGTCTGCAACGCACGGCTAGCTGTGCATACGGCTAGCTAGCTGTAGTGCTGCCTGGAGGTCCTTGGTGACAGAAAGGGAAGTAAACCCGAAGGTTTGGCGGAGGGCCTCCACAACACAAGTTGCGGCGATTGGCAGCAGCGAACTATGAGACTGTACCGTCTCGTGTTGCTGCAGCCCGTGCTGCAATTCTTGTGTTATTTGCTGGTGCTCTTCGTGCTGCTGCAATTGCTGCACTTGCTGCAGGAGGAATCGGATCCACTCGCACGCATTTGTTGCTTCTTTCCCTACAAGACCGCAGGGGACGATCCTCTTGTACGGCTCTAGTGAGTTGCTGATATTTAGAGCTATCCCGTGGTAAGAAATCCACCGTCTAAGGCGAATTCCGACAGCACAGACCTTCCGGCCTCCTGCCCAGACACCCGGCATGCTCCTGCACCGTCGTAGGTGCAAGAAGGGCTGAGACAAGCACTCCACGTCCTCCGCTTCTGCGTCGTTTCGCTGCTCCTGTTGGTTCTGAATCTGCTCTTGTTGATTCCGATTCTGCCGTTGATTCTGATGCCGCTGCGCTTGTTGTTTCTGCTTCTGCTGATTCTGCTTCTGCTGCAGCAGAGAGGCCGCTGCGGGGTGCGTCGTCTGCCAAAGACGCACGAGACTCTGTGCAGCCGTTGTCTCGAGTGCATCAATAAAGGCCCTTATGTCTGTCTGGTGCTTCCGCAAATCAAAAATTGGATATACCACGAGCTGCCCAGGGCCGTGCCATGTCACCTGTCCTCCCCGTTCTACGCGCAGCAGCTGGGGGGGCCCCCTCCCGTCGCGCATGCGCCCTTTCTGGGGGGCCCCCACGAGACCTGGGGCCCCCTCCGAGGGGCCCTTCAGGTCCCCCCGCTCAGGAGCGCGCAGCGCCGCGATCGCAGAGGCGAGATCCCCCAAAGCCTTTGCAACCTGAGAGGCGTCCTGTACATCCTGCTGCAGCTCGAGAGGCAGCTTCAGCTGGCTCTCCTTATCCCGCATGTCTGCAGCGACAAACGACAAGCTGGAGCCCTGTCCAAGTGTGTAGACACTGGGATGCTGCGTAAGAATCGCAAAGTCGCACGCTGTCTCTCCAGAGACACGGCAAGGCGCGATCCCTGGAAGCAACTCCAGATAGGAGCCGCTTTTCGGTTCCTCCTTGGCCTTCGTCTTGTGGCTTTCCAGTTGCAGCATTTGATGCTGCAGCAGAGCGTGTTGCGCTGCCCACGCAATTTCATAGGGCACCACTCTATCGGTCAAGTCTATGACCACCAAATGGCGAATCCTGGAGGCAGTACTGGAGTTGTAGGGGGGGGGGGGCGCCTCCTCCGACGTTGCAGCTGCGAAGCGGCCACATCCGATGTTCGCTCTTGTCGCTTTGCCGCTCCCCGCCAGAGAGCAGGTTCTTCTCTGGGGGGGGGCAGCGTTTCCGAGGGGTTGTGCTGTATACGCAAGTCGAACGCTCAACGCTGCTCCTGCTGCTGCTGCTGCTGGCGGGAATTTGCACACGGCAGGCCGCCTTGCCGAGCCCAGGAAGGGGATGGACTCGCTTAAAACGAGGAAGGCAGCAACTGGGAACGTCTGCAGCAGCACCAGCTGCAGCAGAATCGAAACTGGCAGTAGCAGCACCGTCATGGCTGCTAAGGCGAACCCACTTGGCTCGAACAGCGGCGAAGTGGGAAGCCCAAGGGCGCATTCTGCTGGTGTCTATGGAAGGCGCTCTAAAACTTCCGTGTTGGGGTTGCGTGGGGGTGGGGGGCCCACCCTCCTTTGGGGGCCCCTCGTCGTGGGGGCCCCCCGGCCAGACACGCCGCTGCTCCCTTCCCGCAGGGGCCCCAGCAGCAAAAGGCTCCTTCTGCCCGATGAGGAAGTTGCGATGCAGCGGAAAGGGATAATTTCAGAAATTTTGCTTGCAGAAAACCACATAGTCTGGGAAAGGCCTAGAAAACTGCAGCATCGAAACGCTCACTTACTACTCAGCAGCTGGTGCTGCTGCACGCGCAACAGCGGAAGGCAGGCTGCACTGTCGATTGGAGGAGGATGCCTGCTCCCCAGGACCTCTTCTCCCACACCCCTCCCTCCTCGATCTACTGGAATTTTTTTCAAACTAAGGAACTCTTTTGAAGAGGGGGGGGTGCTCTTGGCAACCAGAAGCGCCAGACTCACTGCCCTCTTCATTACGAAGGTTCCTTAGGGGGGCCCCCTAATACCACGGAATCCTCTCCTCACCTTCTGCCCCCATGGAGCGTCAGGAGGATCTTTCGCGCTGCCTGGAAGCCTCATCGGAAAACACCCTTCCTCCTGCAGCTGCTGCAGCTGCTGCAGCTGCTGCAGCTGCTGCACCGTCCCTGGCCAGCAGCAACAGCAACAGCAACAGCAGCAACAGGAGCAGCAACAGCAACAGCAGCAACAGCAGCAGCAACAGCAACAGCAGCAACAGCATCATCAGCAGCAGCAGCAACAACAGCAGCAGCTCCCTTGGGGCATCAGTGAATGAGAAATTGGTCTCCGAGTTGGTGGCACTGTACTTGCCTCCAAATTACGACTTTGAGGTTCTAAAGACGGCTCGACGCCTTGCAGCCGCAGCCGCCACTCGCGTCTGTTTGCAGCTGCCCGAGGGCCTCCTAGCTTGGGGTTACCAAATTGCTGTCATTCTTCATCGCACGGTTGCATCGATTCAGCAGGTACGACATGATGAGACGCTGTAACTGCACGCGCACAACAAAGACTCCATTGCTGCTATCAGGCTCTCTTTGCATGCAAAAGAGAAGGCCCTCAATATATCTGAAGCAACGTCCTTACCTCTCTCTCTCTCTACCTATCTATCTATCTGTATATCTATCTGTTTCTCTCTCTGTTTCTCTCTCTGTTTCCCTCTCTCTCCCCCAGAGAGGCTCGCACAAGTGCTGCCTGCCTCGCTCGCCACCCGTGCGAGACACCACGCAAAACATTTTTCTTGAAACGAACATAAGTAGTAGCACAGAATTCCGGCTGTCTATGTCTATTCCAGAGGCCAGCAGAGCAAATGTGGAAACACTAGGCGTAACGGCACGCCCCCATAGTATGCATGCCCTGCAAACATGGTGCCGACATTGCGTAGACTAGGCGCTTTCTCTCTCCACTCGCACAGCCCACCAGAGGTGCCAACAGCAGCTCCTGGCATCCATCCTCCCTCGCCTCCGTGTTCGCCGGCCTCTCAAACGTTTGCCCTAGGCATTTTTCCATGCCGCCTTCCAGGCTTCCACACCCAAGGGAGCCAGCCAGGTAGCTAGCTACCCAGCTAGCTACCTGCCTACCTGGCTAGCCACCCCGCCAGAACAACGCAGCCGCCAAGCAGCGCACTCGGCGCGATCCTGCTGGGTTTGCGTTCAGGTCTTTGTTCTGGGGGATGTGTCATACGGCGCTTGCTGCGTTGATGATTTGAAAGCGCAGGCTCTTGGCACCGATTTTCTAATTCATTTTGGGCATTCCTGCTTGGTGCCTACGCAGCACACGCAGGGTGACGTGGGGGCGGGGGCGAACAGGGGCAGCAGTAGCAGCGGCAGCGGCCTCAAAGTGCAATATGTGTTTGTGGATATCCTGGTCGACCCCAACGAGGTGTCTGTACAGCTGCAAGAGCTGCTGCTGCCAACTGAAAAGGTCGCCCTCCAAGGCACGATACAATACACAAAGACGCTGCACGTGAGAGACGTTAAGGACCACACTTTTCTAGCGGCTTGCCTTCCTGGTGCATGCCTCCATGCATCCCTGTGGTGTCTGTCTCTCTGCCCCCTGTTCGCTCTAGAACTTTTCTAAGCTGCCTGATCGTTTATGCATCTCGAGTCTTCTGCCCTTGGTTGCGCGTTGCGCGGATGGATGCGAGTGACCCTTTGTGTGCGGGGCTTCGATGACAGAGGGAAGCTGCTCTGCTCTGCTGCCTTCGTCTGCTTAGGATTGCCTGCAGTTTTAACTTTTTTCGCTTCTTCCCCTACACGCCTTAGCGCCTGTCCACGCACCTCCCTCAGGAGGCCGTTTGTGTGTTTGTATGTTTGTGTTTGTGTAAGTGTTTGTGTAAGTGTTTGTGTAAGTGTTTGTGTAGGTGTTTGTGTGTGTTTTTGTGTAAGTGTTTGTGTTTGTGTAAGTGTTTGTGTTTGTGTAAGTGTTTGTGTTTGTGTAAGTGTTTGTGTTTGTGTAAGTGTTTGTGTTTCTGTAAGTGTTTGTGTTTGTGTTTCTGTAAGTGTTTGTGTTTGTGTTTCTGTAAGTGTTTGTGTTTGTGTAAGTGTTTGTATTTGTGTTTGTGTAAGTGTTTGTATTTGTGTTTGTGTAAGTGTTTGTGTGGGGGGACCTTTTATGGCTTTTTGGCTGCTCCCCTCCCCCCGCTTCCTCCCTCCTTGTATGCATCCCTTTCGACAGACGTATGCTGCGGGTGTCTTCTATCCTGTGTAGGCTGTGAAGAGGCTTCTCGACGCGTCAGGATACTTCCTGCAGCCCCCACTGCTTCCACAGGTCCTGCCTCTTACCGCCGGGGAGGTCCTTGGGTGCACTGCACCAAAGCTGCGGAAGTCGCCTTCGTGCATCGCTAACGCTGATGCAGCAGCAGCAGCAGCCACTCCTGGAGCTGCCCAGGCTGCACCTGGGGGCTGTACGTACAGCTGCGGCGGGTCTGAGGGTTCTATTGAGTCGCTTGCCCCTGCAGCATGCAGGAGTACGGCCTTTGCGCAGCAGCCCCTGAGCCACAGACACAGCCCTCCTGTGGGGCCCCCAGGTGGAGAAATGCCTGAGATCAGCACAGTGGTATTCCTCGCTGACGGGCGCTTCCATTTGGAGGCGTCGATGATTCAAAATCCGGGCATAAGATTTCTTAGATTTGACCCTTTCACCAAAGTAGGCCGCAAGCACGGAAGTTTGATGGGCCCCCCCACCGCACTTGGCCCCTCCTGTGAAGGGGGCGATTTTGCGGGCTTTTTGGTTGGACGCGTTGTAGTTAGTCAGGCCTTGTAGGAATTTCAGATTGCCACGTTCCCACTTGGGAGGCCTCTTTAACAACAATAGGAGATGTTTTTCTCCTGGCGTGTCCGCCTGCTGCCAGTGCATAAGGCTGCGGCGCTCATAAGGTCCTTCTTGTAGACAACGAGCACTGTCGTGTCTTGCCCTCAGTTCTCCTCAGAAATCCTCGCGCCTTGCATTCTGTGTGTGCCGCGCATCTCCCAGTGTCTCTACAGGGAATCTTATGATCACCAACGCTTGCACAAGCTGCGCACGTCCGCCATTCAAAAAGCCCGCACGGCAAAAACGGTGGGGTTGTTGTTCTCCACTTTGGGCCGCCAGGGCTCCGTGGGTTTGGCCGAGGACCTCTTAGCCCTCTTGGAGAAGAGAGGCATTGCAGCGACGCCGATTCTGATGGCGGAGTTTGCCATTCACAAGTTGCAGGCGCTCTTCCCCTTCATCGACGCATTTATACAGGCAAGTGTACAGACACATAGTGCCCAAAACACTGCGCGGTGTCTTAAGGAATCGGCCTTCTCTCTCTCTCACCCCTTCTCTCCCCGTGGCAAGGGCGCCTAGAAAGCTGACGTTGTTCTTTTTCGGGATCTTAAGGCCGCTTTTGCTTCCCTCTTTAGGAAGAAGCTTCCAGGAAAGCCTCCTGGCCGTTTCTTCCTGCATTGGGGAACCTTAGAAGGGGCCCCTCTCCCTGCAGCAGCTGCACGGCGGCATCACTTGGAGCGTTTTAGCGTCGACAGAATTCCAGTTGCCAGAACTACTGCCTGCCCGAAGGCCCCTGCCTCTGCGAGCTGCTGCCTGTGGGGAGACGACATCAGCGAGCACAGACTTCTCCTTCTGATGCGATGCCACAGATCGGCTGCCCCCGCCTGTCCATTGACTGGGGTGCCTCCTTCCCCGTGCCGCTGCTTTCTCCTTACGAGGCCCATGTTGCATTCGGAGAACAACCCTATTTGGAAGGTGCGTGATCAGTCATAACAAATTTTTCAGGGGCGTTTGCTGGCCGTAAACGTCGCACAGACACACACACTGGGCGACATACAAGAGGACCTTGGCGTCCGCATCGCGTGCAGCGTAAGCCCCCAGGAGCCTTGTTCTGTCTGCTGGCTTGCAGTGTATCCCATGGACTTCTACGCCCGCGATGGGGGGCCCTGGACGAATTACAACGCCTCTGGTGAGATGCCTTCACGACACACACACACATGCTGAAGGCGAAGCAGCCAGCTCGCGTCGGATTGGCCAGCAGGCAGCTGTCTGGCTAGCTCCCTACATCCTCGATAGCTAGATGGGCAGCTGTGTTTGTTCTAGTGTTCGGCTTGTCCATCTCGTTTGTTTATGTTGGGGGGGAGTGCTAGTGTCGTTGTGGGCTCTAAGGCAGCAGTGCGCTTCTTGGCGGGCTGTTTCTTGCTGCAGGAGGGGACAGGAGGGGGTCACTCGCAGTACGAGCGCCTCTAGAGTCTCGTAAGGCAGAGCTTAGGGCCCGCCTGTTAGAAAAGCAGCAGCAGAAGAAGCTGCAGGGGGCTTCTGCTGCCGTCGCGAAGAAGGCATAGTCTGGGGACTGCAGCGCGATGGCTATTGGCACTGCAGGAGAGATAGCAGCTTACCCGGCACAGTTTCCAAGGGCCTCTTTCTTTCTTTCTTTCTTTCTCTCTCTCTCTCTCTCTCCACAAAAAGAGAAATCCAGAAAGGCCGCGTCTAACAGCTAGTGCCTCGTGGGCTTTGGTGGCTTTTGGAGAGAGACAGAGAGAGAGACAGCGAGAGAGAGACAGAGAGGCCGGCAGGGGGTGATAGAGAGAGGGAATTTTCGTGGTCCTTGCTCTTGCCTATTCGGTAGCGGGGGTGCTAGTCCCCCATCCTCCTCTGACTAGACGAGATTTTCGAAGCCTTTTTTGCCCACTTACTGAGGTTTCTCGGATTGCGTTAGCATCCCAAATACCCACAGACTGAGGGGCTCTAGCAGAGGGATGATTCAAAAGGGGAGGGTCAGACTTCTGTTGAGTTTTTCTCGGGGAGTTCATGGCGGGCGGCCCCTTGAATCAGATCTTAAGCCTTCGCGGTCCCTAGGGACCTCGGAAACTCCGCTGCAGTCTATCGGGAACTTGTCATGAGGACCATCGGCTAAGGCCAGTATTGGAGTTATTCGGAGATTAGCCCAAGGAATCAGCTTTCTGATATGTGTCCCCAAACTGTATATAAGGCACTTGGGGAGTCGTCGAATACCCCCCAGAATGTAGTACTCGTATACACTTTGGAATGTGTAGGGATTCAACATACATATGACTGCCATTAAGTACATCTATAGATGTATGTGTACGTCTGAAAACAGATGGGTGTACTCAGCCGTCTGTGTGCAGCGGGATGGATTGGCTTCAGCGAGCTTGTGGTAAGACTGCATGTCCGCACAGGGCCTGTAACAGTATGTAATGCTGCAACAGCAGCATGTGTGGTTCCGAAAGACGAAAAGATGCGCCTACTGTCCTGGCATCAGCCTGGGCTCCTAGTACAAAGGAGTGTCAATATGGAGGGTCTCAGGCGCCCTCAGGTCCAATCAATCCCCACACGGTAGCCTCCTTTTCAGCCCCCCCGATCCCGCTTCCCCCTTAAACTTTGCTTCTTGTCGACCCTCCCCAGGTAGCTGTGCCCTTCGGTCCACTTACATGGTGTTGGGGCCCGAGGTGACCCCACAAGAAAACACGTATGGTAGTTTCTACACCGGCGCAAACCCACCGCCGTGTCTCGCAGAAGGCGAACCCTGGATTAAATATTATGGCGCAAGCACGGAGATTAAGCCTTAGCTTACAGCACACCGAAAGCCACATACCACAGAAGGGCTACACGGCGATAAAAAGACCGTTGGGTCTTGGGCATGCGTGTTCTGATTCCAATTCGTATTGGGGGCACGACCATACGTGTAACAAATGTGTGGCCAAAAAGAAGCTGATCAGGCATGCGCGCCTGTGTCGAATTACCCTTGTGCGAGCTTCCGGTAAAAACTAATTTCTCGTGGGCGCAGCAGGATGCAGTGCGCGACAAGTGTCCCTCCTTCATTTGCAGGGGGGAATTTCAGGGTTTCACAGTCATGTAGTTTAGAGAGGCCCAAACTGCATACATAATGCGGCATTCTATACTGCAATAGCTACACAATTGCTAAAATTAAGTAGGGGATTGACAAGTTTGGGGCCTGACCTCGCTTGTGTTGGACGCTGCCCTGTGGAATGAGCCGAATAATGTATGAATTCACACGGTGTGCCTGTGCGCTACAAACTGCACATAGAAATGGGCGTGAATAATGTTCGGACTGTTTATAGGGTGCCGACAAACGCCGGTACACCCCTCCTGCAGCGGGCAATTAGGCTACAGTTAAACAGGATCTCCTGCTCTAGGTTGTACTTCACTAGGCATTGAAACGGTTTGACGAAGTGGCTTGTCTGTTCGTAGATCTTATCCCCTGAAGACTGTAGGTAGTTCGGTGAAACAAGGCCCAACGCTGTATGCGAGTGCGCTCGATGAGATGTCTCACTAGCAGGGAATGCTCGTTCTTTGAGTGGTGCTGGAGGGCAGGGGTACCATGATAAGCCCCAGCTGCCCTTACCCCCAGAATGTCGGAAAGTCTGGGGGGAGAGGGCAAGGAAAGGAGAGATACTTTTTCACACTTCTCGGTTTCTATCAAGTTCGTACTGAGCGTGGCGTTCGATGACGCCCGATTCGGAGAGCTTCGATGGAGCGCTGTACTCCTAAGTGCCCTATTCTCTCGCCTCATGCCAAAACCTTGTCGAGAGAGCATAATAAGCAGGCGTTTTTTTCTTGAGTATAGACGTTTACAGGAACATTAGGAGATTTTCTCCAGGATTACGGCTAAGAAGTGGGCTTCCCTTTGGGGGCACTTCAAGACGGAGCGGTTCTGAAGCCATGAAAAGCCCTTGGTGGGAAATAAATTTTTCTCACTACCGAATTTTCGTTTGCGCGGCCCTTCAAGGAACCACTCAATTTAGTTCACATGTGTCGTGCCTAACACTTGAAAGAAACACCATCTCCAGAGAGGGACCGTAAGGGAAGCAGAACAGACCGCTTGGCCAATGGTCGGCGACTTTCATGCTAGCAGCTTCGCCCTCCACCCGTTACAGCGAATACACGCTTTCATCGCATTAGGTAAGGGTCTGCATTTGTTGAATTCCGCTGCTGATGCTCGCCCTGCCGCGTCTGCTCCTCACACACAATGCGACAAAAAACCGTTCGCACACAACCCCGAGAAAAAACCACCAGCTGAGTTTTGTGCAATACGAAGCATAAAAGGCGTGATAATGAAGACACGAGACCAAAGATAGGGCCGCTGTCCCCCTGGGAACCTGTGCCACGGTGTAGGCTCAGTGTGTAGGGGGGCCCCCTATCACCTGGTAGGGCCCCCGGTGGCATTTCGTGCGGCAGGATCCCTCTTGGGGAGCTCTTTCGTTAGTAATATTCCGTGTGCCTTTTAAGTACGAGCACGGACGACCAGAACCGAATAAAATCTTAGGGGCCTCGAGGGCCCCCGGCTTGCAGAGGGACCGCAGCGAACGGGAGTCAGGCGCTCCAAACTTGCAGTAATTGGCGCCACACTGCACGCAAGAGCCCCGAGGGCCTCTGGGGGCCCCTCTGCGCTCCGTTTCTCCGTACTGACGCATCTGTGGGGCCCTTGGCAGTCTCTCGGAGGCAGCAGGGGTCCCTCAAGGGTACTACCCTCTCGAACCGAAGAAAGGCGTGGCGGCAGAGAGGCCCCCAGGGGGCCCTCGGAGCTGAATCTTCGGGTCTTTGTTGGATGAAGGAAGGCCTTGCGGCGCATCCAGCATGCGGCGAGTGCTGCAGCAGCTTCCTCAGGATCAGCCCAAAGCCCCGCAGCAGCATCGTCTCCGCCGCTGCTGCCGCTGCAATGCAGGGGCCCCTCTACTGGGGCCCATACGGAGGCAGCCAGCAGCACCAGGAGCAGCAGCAGCGCGGGTGGGATCAAGGCGGGTGTTCGGGGGGTGCTGAGGGATGGACCTCCGCGTGTGGGGGGGCTGTAGTGATGGGGGCCCCCTTCGGCGGGTACCACTCGGGAGCAGCTTTCCCCGCACTGCCTCTCGATGAGATCCTTCTGGACGGATCGCGCTGGCTCCCCGTGTGGCGCCATAGGCCGCAGATTGCCAGGGCCCCCTGTGCTCCCCCCACGGGGGCCCCCGGAGAACCCCCCGGAGGGGCCCCCTTTCACCCCTCTTGTGCAGCGTGGGACCCCCTTGGAGGGCTCCTGTGTATGGGAAGCCTCAGTGGACGCATCTGCACTCTGGATCCAGAGACGGGCTGTCTGTGCAGCGCGTTCGCCGTTTCTGCGGGGGGAGAGCTCGGTGCTCGTGAGGAAGTGGGCCCCATCTGCTCTCTTCTGCCAATAGAAGCGGGGATCTTGAGTATGCAGAGCACCCTGATATCTCTGCGAGCTTTGCAGCATCTACACATTCCAAGAAAAGCCCACTCACGTTCTGCGCAACTCTGCTCCGCCCTTCCAGCCTCCCTTTTCGCCGTCGACCTCCATGAAATGCGTAGTAGCAGGGCCCCTCTTGCCTCTGCACCTGCTGCCGCTCTCTTGCACAACTTGCCGCTCCTGCCAGAAGGCTTCTTGAGCCCACCAGTCCAAGTGCTCAGGCTGCTGCTGCTGCTCTCTCTGTCCCTCAGGTGTCTCTCAGCAGGGTGTCTCGCTCTTTCGACGTCAAGGCTTCCGCCTTCCTCTGCTATCAGCCGCTTCGCAGCATCAGCTGCTGCAGTGTTGTGGGCTCCTTACGGGGGCTGTCGCCGTAGGGGCTGCTCCCTACGTCGTCGTTGGAGGCCAAATGGTGAGCACATCGAGATGCATGCAAGGCGTAGTAGTTTCCTGTTGGAGGCTAGCTCGCCCGTCTTTGAGACACGCTCTCTGCTTACAGTGAATCCAGCAGGAGGCGTCATGTCTTTCCTCTTGCTTCTGACAGAGAAGCCACCATCACGCCTTTGCTGCCACGCTCCTGTTCGTTTTTGGTGCCAATTGCATGGCACACCCTTAGGCCTCCCTTAAGGCCCCTCCTACGCCGTGTAGAGCTGCCCAGTTCAAGCCTCGTGCCGACTGCCTGCATCCCTCCCCGTCTCTAGAATCCGCGGGGTGTCTATCTACATTCCTCTAGAATTCAGCGAGCCGCAGGGGGGAGGAGGCAGCGGTCTGCACAGCGCCGCAGAGACACAGCAATAAGGCCATGCTCTGCACGGGGCCCATCCGAATTGGCTCATAGTTTGTGTCGCTTTATGCGTTCTTGCGCTCGCTGAAGAAAAGCACAAACCTGCCATTTTTCTCCCTCCTCTATATACGTGTCTTCTGTCTGAGTGCATGCTTTTCTGGCGGTTTTTGCTGCACGCTGCCGTCCCGCAGTTGCCTCAAGTGTTTGTACACCTCCCCTGTGTCCCCTTTCTCTGTACACATATGTCTCTCTTTCTCTGTACACATATATCTCTCTTTCTCTGTACACATATATCTCTCTTTCTCTGTACACATATATCTCTCTTTCTCTGTACACATATATCTCTCTTTCTCTGTACACATATATCTCTCTTTCTCTGTACACATATGTCTCTCTTTCTCTGTATCTCTGTCTGTTCGCTGCGCAGTCGTCTGTGTGCCTCCTGGACGTGTCGGTTGGGGCTATTGTCTCTACGTATAACACGCATAGGGCAGTCTCTGCGCTTCCAGGAGGATCTTCAGCAGCTGCAAGCTCGGGAGTAGGGGCAGCATCAGCAACAGGAGGAAGGGGGGAAGCTGCGGCGGCGGCCTGTCTGGGAAGTGTGCTGCCTCTAGGCTGTGAAGATGGCATGCTGCGGCTCTTAGACTGGCGCGTAGGGAGTCTTCTTCCGGAAGTCATTCCGGTTGTTTCGCCACACCCAGTCGGGGCCCTCTCCCGCTCGGGGATCTCCGTGGCTGCATGCTGCGGAGTATCACCCTCGGGAGTTTCTCGGGGAGCAGAGGAGGCTTATCAACGCTGCTGCTTCGTGGATTTGAGAGCTCAGGGAAAGGCCTTATCTTCTGTGTGTCTTTTCCCCTCCGCGTTGCCTGTGTGCTGCTTGCTCTCCCCGGGTGTCTCCCCAAGCCACCCCGTTGGAGTTGCTGTCTCCTCGGACGGCTGCGTGCTGCAGGCAGATCTTTCTCGAGTGTCGCTGCTGCCGCCTTACAGCAGCAGCAGCAGCAGCAGCAGCAGCAGCAGCAGCAGCAGCAGCAGCTACGCGGAGGCTCTTGCCGCGGGGGCCCTCGAGGCCCTCCCTCTTCGGCCTCTGGAGGGGCCCATTGCATGCGCAGTGCTGGACCCCAGAAGCAGCCTTCTTGCCTTGTGCGAGTGGGGGGGACAGGTGCAGCTGCTGCAGCAGCAGCAGAGCAGACACCAGCTGCAAAATCCCGTTGCCAGACATGCGGCTGTCGCTGCTGCAACAAAGAGGCAGCAGCAGCAGCAGCAGTTCCAAGAGGACGCCTGCGCTCGCGCGAGCAGCAGCAGCAGCAGCAGCAGCAGCAGGACCCCCACCTATCGGCACCCAGAAGACAGGGGGCCTCCAGGGGGCCCCCCGACGGGACCGCTTTTGGGCGTAGATGATTTCCTGTTGCCTGCAGTGGCTGCTGCCGCGGCAGCAGCTGCAGCAGCAGATCTCAGAGGCTCCTCGCGTCTGTCGATGCGCTGCAGCGCATATTTGCAGCAGCAGCAGCTGCAGCACCAGCAGCTGGGGTTGAGCGGGGCCTTAAAGGAGGCCAATGCCTTGGAGGAGCTTGCCGAGGAGTACCTCCTGTTGGATGCCTTAGGAGATCCCAGACCCCGGGGGCCCTTGGTGCCTTGCTGTTGCACCTGCGTGTTTCCCGGCAGCTGCAGCGGGGGGCCCCTGCTGAAGGGGGCCCCCTGTTGCTGCGACCTCCTTTCGGAGCGCTGGGTGTATCCGGTTAGCTCCCTGGGGCGGAGCGAAGAGGAGGGGGCCTTCCTGGACAGGGGCCCCCTTTCAAGGCAGTGGGGGGGAGGGGGCCCCTTCGACAGCGGGGCCCTTTCAGGGGTGCCGCTGGTCGAAGGCGAGGGGCACAGCGCTGAGGCAAAGACTGACGATCCCACGGAGGATCTTGTGTGTGGCATGGTGCTGCGTTCGCGTGCGTCTCCCCGGGGGGCCCCTTGCGACTGCAGCAGCGGCGACGGCAAAGCGAAGGACGGGGGCCCCCAGCACGAGGACGGCGGGGGGGGCAGCGCCAGCAGCAGCGCCTGGAGAAGGCTTCGACCGAGCGGCGAGGGAGTGGGGACGCCGCAAGCACGCGTCTCCGCGAGAGGCTCAGGAGGGGGCCCTCGGGGGCCCCCTCCCCAGAGCGACGTGGGCGGAGGAGGGTACTTCATCGAAGTGCTGACGCAGGACGATCTGAGACCTCCCACGCCGCTGCCAATGTGTCTCGTGCAGGGAGCCGAGGCAGCAGGAAGGAGCTCCGGAGTTACTGACGTTCGCTTCGCTTCGAATGTGTTGGGCTGCGCCGCGAACGGCGCCCTCTATGGAGCCATAGGGTCCTCTCGAGAGCTCGCCTTGCGGAAGGCGGGAGGCCTTCTTGCAGCAAGGCGTGGCGAGGGGAGGCCCCTCGGGGGGGTCGTTCCCTTGAATCGCTCCCTGCTGCTTGCGCTGCAGACTCAGAGCCTCCCGCAAGTGCCGCCTTGGATCGACTCCGGAGGAGGCGGAGGCAGCACTGGAGGCGGCGGCGGCGCTGGAGGGCTGCTGTCGGGTGGCGCAGGGTGGCCTTTTCCCGCTGGGGGGGCCCCCCGAGGCCTTTTTCGAGGCCCTTGCCGAGCGCGGTGGGGCCCCCCGCCGGCGGGGAGCGCCGCGCCCGCCGCAGCGATCGCGCAGCAGCAGCAGCACCCCAAGCCTCCGTGGAGGGGCCCCAGCGACAGCAGCGGCGTGTGTCTCTCGCCGACGTCTAGCTCAGCCAGCGGAGACTCGGACGAAGACGAGGCTCCCACGCGAGACGCTCGCGCTCTCCTGAGGGCTTCGAAGCGGAAGGGCGTAGAGGGCATTGTTGCTGCTGGAGGCCCCGCCCAAGGCGTGTCTGCAGGGGCCCCCCTGTGTAAGGCTGCTGCTGCTGCCGCCTCTCCCTCTTCCTCTTCCTCTTCGTCCTCTTCTTCTTCCTCTTCCTCTTCCTCTTCGTCCTCTTCCTCACCCCGCGCACTTTCCGATCAAGGAACGAGCAGAAAGATTCTCAGGGAACCTCAACAGGAGAGCTCCCCGGGAGGCAGCTGGCTGCAGACTGCCGAAGGAGGGCACGCGAGGACTGGAGGCATCGGCAGTGCAGGGGGGGCCCCCACGCAATTTTCAGCTGCGCCTGTGGGCAGCACGTCCTCGGGGGGCCCCCCGCAGTGTCTGGCCCCCGTTCGTGTACCGAGTCGGTATGCGCAGCACAAACTCTCCGCGGCTCCTTGGCTACAAGCCTTCGGAGGAACTCTCCGCCCCTGTAATCGACTGCCCCCTTTCGGCTGCTTCGAGGGGGGAGGAAGAAGGGGCTTCATTCGACCCTTGTTCCAGCTCCTCTTCTTCCTGCCCGTCGTCAAGAGCACTCTTGCCTTGCACGCATGCGACAGGGGCCTCTGCCTTGCATGTGAAGTAGGGGCCGTCCTCCACATGCTGGACCTTGCCAGGTACAACAATGCGCAGCCCCTTATCTATCATCAACGCACGACCTTAAGGAGGGGCCCTTATTTAATTTACGGGAAATAGAGGGAAAAGGGGGGGGGGAAGAATCGCGCTGTTTCTTTCTTTCTCTTTTTCTGCATATACATATATATATATACATGTACATGTGTGTCTTTATGTGCCTCTCTCTCTCTCTCTCTACCGCTGGCTAAGATCCCCCCTAGGAGGAACCGAGGGGGCCTCCCCTCCGACAGCGCCTATATTCAGCGTGTATACTGCATGCACGTGTGCAGCTCAATACATATATACACACACACATGCATGCATGCATGCATGCATGCGTTTAGCGCTGCCCAGTCAGGTGTGCATCATGGGAGGTCCCTGCACATGGCTGTAAAGAGGGCCTCTTGAGAGTGCACGCAAAAGGCTGGCCTCCTCAGCAAATGGGGCAAGGCAATAAACATGCATGTATGTATATGAATGCGCATATGTATACATCCTCATTTTTCCTGAAAGGAGGTGAGGCACATGTGATACTGCAGGAAGGACGATGGTGCAGGGGGCCGCCGCTTTTGTTATAGCAACGGCTGCGAGGCGGCTCTGTTTGAGATGCCGGAGGCGAGGCTTTTGGGGCTTTTTAAGCGTGTTTCTAGCAACAGTGAGTTGGCAAGCTGCTGCAAAGGGTCTTGCAGTGCCTCCTGCGCACAGGACGAGGCGATGCGGAGGGGAGCGATCAGCGAGGGGGAAAGGGGGGGGTGTTGGGGTGTGTTTAGGCAGAGTGAAGTTTCTTTCTGTCGCTTTCTTCGCCTCTTTGTGCCAAGGCTTCTCCTAGGAGGAGTGCAGTGCTTGCAGGGCAGGCCCCCCTGGAAACGGCCTTTGTGACGGAAGCAGCCAAGCCACACCACGCGGGGGGAGGGGAGGCAGGCGCGTGTTGCAGGGGTGAGAACTCTGTGGTTTGGCGAGTGCAGACTTGTGTGCTTCAGAGCTTGCAACGCTGCTGCATCGTGTCCAGGCAACTCTCCGTTTCTTGTTGGATCGTCTGCACAAGGAGCTGCGAGCCGCTGCAACAGCGGGGGGCACTCCTGCTCCGCTCATCGCTTTCCCAGTGCCTTGGCGTGGCGTTCCTGCAAGTCGTCTTTCTCCGTCCCAAGAGGATTGTGCAGACACCTCCGAGGGGGCTAGCCGGCCCGCAGCAGCGTCTTCGGAAGCTTCCGAGGAAGGACTGGCAAAGGCGGAATCAGAAGTTAGCCGGGATGGGCTTCACTCGGGGGGCCCCTCCGAGGCAAACCCACCATCACCCTCTGTGTGTGTTCTCGAGACAGGCGATGCTAAGGCAAGCTCGTGCATTGAAGTGCTGTTCGGCTTTCGTCAAAAGACGGAAACTGTGTGTTTGCTGCAACACCACACTGCCACACAGATCTGTGAGTCCTTCCTCGTCGATTTGCAGTACCCCACGCAGCAGCGGCCCCTTGCGGGGGGCCCTCCTGCAGAGGGGCCCCTCGCACCTTCAAAAACCAACAAACCCTTCAACGGCAGCGAGGCTGCAGGGAACCCCAGGGGATTTCCCCTCCTTCCCCCCTTCCTTTCCCAGCGAGGATCGTCCACCGGCGAATCGACAGAAGGGCCCCTCCCCGGCTCCCCCGCCTGCCTCCAGAGGCAGCAGCCGCAAAACGGAGTATCTACCGCTACTAACAGCAGCAGCAGCAGTACTAGAAGCGCCAGGAACAAAAACAATCCCGCTTCAGAAGCGCCACCCCACCGTCTGCCGCAAGAGGCCCCCGGCAGCAGCTGCTGCGCATCTGCAGAGAGGCAGGAGGCTCTTCAGGGAGAGGCTGGATCTTGCCTCTCCTTCTGCGAATTGCTGCGGCAGTCTCTCCAGAGAACTTTGATGAGACGCACATACTGCAAGGGCTGTGGCGGGAACGTGGAATGCGCCATATCCACGCGGGTAAGGCCATGCATGACCTTTTGTAACACGCAACGCCTCTCGCAGTTGTTGTTTTCTGCTGCTACTGCCACGCTGCTATCTGCTTTTCTCCATTCGTGTATTGCCTTGGCTTTACACGTCCTTCCCCTCAATTAATGCTTCCTGCCCCTTTTCTGCATCCTCTTCCATCTCTGCCTTTGTGCGCGTGCCTCCTGCGCCGTTTCTTTCACCGCCTTATGGCCTCCTCGAGCGCACTTGGTCTTTGTCGCGAGTCTTTTTCTGCTCCTCCTGCTTTTGAATCTCCCCTCTCCCCTCTCTGCACTCCCTCCCCGAGGGCCCCCCTATGCGGCCCCTGCTCTCACTGCCTCTCTCCTTACCGCGTTGTACCTCCTTTACGTATCCATGCATGAGCTCTTGCACGCACCGTGACGTCTCCTCTGGCCTCTGTGCGCCTCTTCTTCTCCGTCCCTTGCCTCAGCTTCAATCCCTTCCCCTGGTTCTCCTGCTGCACGCCAACTGCCACACAGCCACTGATTTCTCCGTATGGCGATCCATTGACTCCACCGGCAGGGGGTTCCTGAGAAGACGCTTCTGGATTAAACTCACACAAGACGTAGGCCACACACTACAGACCCAACCAGCTAAGGCACCGCTTTTCGTAGCAAACTTAGAAATGAAGTGAAGTGCTAGAGCACCGCCGCATACGCAGCCTTTCCGAGCACTTCTCTGGGGCATCAAAGACGTTTACTAACATGTATCAAAGTCGTGTAGCTCGTGTCAAAGCCGTTAAGCATGTGTCAAAAGCGTTTAGCATGTGACGAACGCGTTTACTAATTTGTGTAAAAGGCGTTTACTAATATGTGCTAAAGTCGTGTAGCTTGTGTCAAAGTCGTGTAGCTTGTGTCAAAGGCGTGTATCATGTGTCAAAGGCGTTTACTAACATGTGTCACACTTGTTTAGCATGTGTCAAAGGCATTTACTAATATGTGTCAAAGTCGTTTAGCATGTGTCAATCGCGTTTACTAATATGTGTCAAAGGCATTTAACATGTGTCAAAGGCATTTTTGCACGTGTGAACGTAGGATGTGGACGTAAAGGAAGAACCATCTCCAGGGTTTGTACGCTATGAATTGATTAGTTCACTCTTCGCCGTTCGTCCCATGGAGGGAACCCAGGGCGATGCAGGAGGTTCCTCGAGCATCGGGCAGAAGACACCTAGCTTCCGTTCTTTTGCAAAGGCCACCAATGCGGAAAAAGCGGCGAAGACTGCAACGGGAGAGGATCGTGGCTGCCATCTCGTCTTGCATGTTAGGTAAGGCCTATTGGCACGCGCTGCCGCGAGGGGCTTTTCCCGAGGTTGTGTTCGTGTGTAGGTAGGTAGGTAGGAACTATTTCTGCTGCATGGCAGTTTCATGAGGCTTGCGTGTGCTGCTGCATTGTTTGTACGTGCTGCTGCATTGTTTGTGTGTTTTGCTGGATTGTTTATGTGTTTTGCTGCATTGTTTGTGTGTGCTGCTGCTGCTTCAGGGTGCCTGCCGCCTATCGGACTCGAGAAATGGCGGAGCAACAGCAGCAGAAGCATCAGCAGAAGCACCAGGATGCACAAAGAGAGCAGGGGGAGGAGGGGGAGCAGCAGCAACAACAAGAAGATGAGGAGCCTGTATGTGGAGTCGGCAGCAAGTCTGCGGCGGGAACCCCCTCTCGTCTAGGACGTCCGCATGCACTGGCGATTGACTCCCCTTGGGTGTCGATCAATGACTTTGTGCTGTCTTACGCAAGACCGCGGGCTGTGCTAGACTTCGCTTCTCCGTGGAAGTACCCTTCCTTTCTCTGTTTCGCGAGAGAAGACACGGAGCAGGGCGATGCTGCGTTTCTATCCGTTTGCAATCCGGTGAGCAGGAAGGACCACACATGTTTTGCGCCTGAGAGTGCAGCACACACACACTTCATGAGGCGCAATGAATATTTTGGAGCAACGACGGCAAAAAGCCGTTCCCATACACTGGACCTGCCCGCACAGGCCCGCCTGTAGTAGTTCGGCTTTGGTCCGTTCCGCGGTGTACGTACACTGGGCCGACTTACCCCGCGCGAAGCGTGCAATTTGCATTTTCCAAGGGCGCGCGGTTGTCGAGGGTCTTGTGTGTTTTCTCGAATGATCTGCGCATGATTAGGAGCTGCTTTTGAGTCAGAGGCCACCCGATTTCGTAAGAGACTCAGGGGATCGTCTGGTTCCTGTGCCGCGAGTTCCTGGCTGCCCCATCTCCCTGGACGCCTTCATGTTAGAGCAGAATTTGTCTCTCAACCCTGAAGCCCCCAGGGAGCCTTTCACGTTTCAGACGCTCAGTAAGACGCTCCGAGACGGCGCTGGTGGTGTTGAGGAGCTTCTCCTCCTGTCGCCTCCTGTGTTTCTGCACTCTCTAGTCTACGGAGCTTTAACTTTAGGGCCTACATGTAGCCTCTGGCAGCCACGGCTCCTGCTTCCGCCTCTTTGTGCGCTCGTCTGCGCAGCCCCTACTGAGCTGCTGCAGATGCAGGCCGCCCGTGTTCGGCGCGAGCAGTGCCTTCGGGATGCTGCAGAAAAGGAGGGGGAGGCAACACCCATGGTGCCTTTTGGGCTTGAAGGCCTTCGGTGGGGTTCCGATGGCTTTGTCGTTGCGGTGGACGCGGAGTTTGTGGCAGAGGTGACAGAGGCGGCGGAAATCGACGAAGACGGGCACAAACAAATCCTACAGAGTTCTTCGTTCGCTCTCGCCAGGTACGAAGGCGAGACCCGACACCTCCGGGTCCTGGCACGGTGTCGAGACACTCCAGATGAAAACATTCGGAGGGCCTTTTTCCTGTCTGCAGAGTGAGCCTGGTACGCGGACAAGGAGATCTCGAAGAAATTCCCTTCCTGGATCATTACATCCTGTTCAAGAGGCCTCCAAAAGACTGCCTCACAAGGTTGGCTAGCCGCTGCTCGTCATGACCCCTACCTCAAGCCCGCTGGCCGAATCCTAGTTCACAACGCCTGCTTCCTCGCACTTTTGAAACATATGCACGCAGACGAGACAGAAGAGAACCGTGTCTGTCTGCATGATATCTGTTACCTTTGCCTTTCTTCTGTGCATTTGCCGGGGTGGGGCCACATGCCTTTTAGACTGCTCTCCCGTTTCTCCCCTCTCGTTTCATGTCTGCCCCTCTCCCATTTCTATGCGTTGGCTGCCTCTGCACTTCCCTGTTGCCTCTTATTTCTCCTTCGGCGTCTCATTGGCAGCAGAAGCCTCCGTCTCTGCCTTCTCTCTTGGCTTTCAGATTTTCTGGTTTGCGGCTGGAGGACCTCAACGCCAACGAATCGCGGGTTTGGCTTACTACGCGCAAAGCTGTCCTGCAAAAGCTGCGCTATTTGATTGACTCCGGCTGCATGTCGGTCTCCTGCGTTACATTCACCTTCAGACAGACGCGATCGAGAGTTTGTTTGCGCCATTGGGAAGAAGTAGCTGGGTGTCTTTGTTCTCCGTGAAATGCTTCTCTCCTTGTGTTTCGTCCTTCCACGGCTTCCTCCTTGCTGCACAGTTTTGTGTCTGTAGAAATCTCTGGTCTTTGTCTTCTTTTGCGTCTGCCGCTAAGCGTGTGTGGCATTTGGCTGCGGGGTGTATGTGCTAGCTCTCCCTAACGTTTCTCAAAGTGCGACTGCAGTGGCATTCTCAGCTGAAGTCTGATTTTGCTTGGCTCTCTGTTTTGGATGCGTTATTGCTCCCGATTTTGTCCTATATATGCCCTAAATGCTCATATACGACTGGGAGTATAGGCTGCACTCCAAATATGCGTTTTGTCTGCGTCATCCTCCAGCTTCGTCGGCCATGGACTGCAACATGACTTCCGAGTGATCAACCTTTACGTGCCTTCCTCACAAGTTGTTGATACTGTTGAGCTCTACCGGCTACCCGGCAAGCGATTCCTCTCGCTGAAGTTCCTCGCGGCGCTGGTCCTCCAGCAGTCTATCCAGGGGGCAACCCACGACTCGATCGAAGACGCGCAAACAGCCCTGAGGCTTTACAAGTTCGTTTCTGTCTTACATCTTTTGAGCTTCATTCTCTCCCCCCTCTGACCCTCCAACTAACGAGGTTCAGTGTTCATTCGCGCATATGGACATGTTCGATTTTCCCCCGAGCACGGGCAGCGGAATGTCTCTTCCTTCTCCTAGTTCGTTTCGCTGCAGTGTATACTTGTATTTGCGGGTGGTACGTGCTGCCGTTTGCTCAAACTTTTGCGTTGCTTTGTGTATCTGTGTGTTATTTTCTTTTGCTTACGGCTTCGATGAATACAACGCCTCATTTCGCATGGTTCCTGCTTTTTTACCCGCGCTGTCGCACCAGCCGCCGCTGTGTTGAAGCAATGCAAACCCCAGCTTAGTGCTCGTTTTCTTGCTTCTTTTACTCCTCTCCAGGCCAAGAAGAGCCGCTTCCATCATCAAGTAGTTCCTCTGTGTCTGTCTTTTCTTGTTCGCCAGTGATCCGATTCCATGATGTAGTACATACACACGTTTCATCTTGCACCTATTGCGACTCTCCCAGTGATGCCCCATGGACTGTATGTGTGCACAGATTCATGGGGATATAAGTATGTACATGTATATAACTATGTGTAACTGTATGTATACATAGTGCTCTTGCACAAGATGAAGAGTTTGTACTTGTTCTTCTAAGTACGTAGATATATGGAACGCGTCCGTGTGTTACCGTTTCTCGTCGCATGTATTTCGACGCGATTATACGGTGACGTGGTACAAACAACTTATAAATATACATATATGTGGTTGGGGGGAACATTAAGAAGCATACTGCCTTTGCTAGACATGTGCGTGCAGCTTATATGAGTCTGCACGCGCACAGAATGTCTTTTGCCCATTGAAGTAGCAATCGATGCTTGTCTCTCAGGAAATATTTGGAGATGAAGAAGGATGGGAGCCTCTCGTCCTGCATTTCTCTCTTGTATGAAACGGGGTACCACACAAATTGGACAGCCCCCGTCCTCACTTTGCCTCTAGCCCCCAATACTTCTGCAGTAACTTCTTCTGTTTCGGGTTCACTGTCGCTTCCGCCCACTTCATCACCTACCTGTGTTGCCCCAAGGGCTTCTTCATCACTGTTGGAGGGGAAGCGGGAGACAGCAGAAGACCAGAAGTGCACTAGTAATAAAGCTGCTTTTTTTCCGAAGCCTAATTCACAGTTGCCTGTCATTGAAGAGCAAAGCAACGAAGCAACTGAGTAGCTTGGAGAAAGAATGGCTCGTTTTCTGGCTTGCTATCTGATGGTGGCAGCAACATCAACAGAAAGGTGCTTGGGAGTTTCACTGCTAGTGTTGTCCTTTCGTTTGAAGAACAAACTGGTTCTTGGGGGCTTACTCGGATGATTCTTCTTGAACCCTCGACTCCTCAGGTATAACTTTTTTTCTACCACAGTTCATTTGACTGGAATCTTATTGTGCTGGTCAGCATTCCACTCTGTGTGCACTAGGTCTAGCGCTTATAGAGCCACGGGCTTCTATAGATAGGGTGGCAGCACAAAAGAAACTCCCATAAGTTCCAACGGATCCATTTCATAGCTTTCGTTCACCGGTTGTCACATTTTCTTGCCCTTGACATTTTGCACCCATTTACTAGTTTATGCATTTCCCTGCGCTTGTATCTATCACTGCGGGGATTTCGTGCAACTAACGTGCCTCTTTCTCGCAATTGACCCGTGGACCTTCATAAGGCCTGCCGATCATCTGAATCTCTTGGCATATTTCCCGGCGCATCCCAAGTAATACTCCCCTCTCTCCCCCTCTGCAGGGATGGTATAGGCGCGTTAGCTTATTTTCTACGTTCGATAAGGGGCATTCGCCTTAGGTGCAGTCAAAACTCTTTCAATGTGGAGATCTTTCAAACAACTTGTAAATGCTATGAATGTTGCCTTTTCCGTATGGATCACCTAATGCATATTGCGTGCTTGTCATGCTGCTTTGATGGACTGCTACGCGATTTCTTTAAATCACACATAGAGAGAGCTCTAGCAAGGGAACTTGCAATGGTTCCACATTGTCCCGGTCCGTCCCCCTGACAAAGCTGACTGGGATACAAGCAGACAAAACGAAGAATTACGGGGTGAATAACAGTCGCTACTGCACAAGAGTACAGTGATCTGCACAGCGCTGCATAATGGGAAAAGGAATCGCGGCATTGTACTAATGCCAGTTATTCACACACGACCATTTTAAGAAAATGGTTCTTTGGAACACAGGGCAAATCGTTTGGTTCATACGACAGTTGCTGAGTGGCACGGTATACGTTGGACGGAATACAGTTACTAAGTATAACTTCTAGTGGCTTAGTGAATAGTAAACCACTTGTGTCTCCATTGCGCCAAGAATAAGTACAGCCGAGGATAAGGAATACATGGTTACGGAATCACAATCAGTACCGCTACGACGGCAAAGAGATCTGATTTCCCATACATTGAACCCACCTTTCTTGTATCCAGGTACTCCGGCAGATAACGAGGACAAGCATATAACATGGAAGTAGGCGCAGCTGAATACAACAATTTTTTAAAGCTAATTTATGGAACGGAACCCATCAAGAAACATATCACTTCAAGAAACACACAATCTTCGTTGTTCTGCATTCTCAGCTGTTTCATTTCTCTTGATTTCCACCTTGTTCTCAGCCCCCACCCCCACCCCCGCACACATACATGCACACACATATATACACATGCTTTTATGTCTTGACTAGGTTCAGGATAAACAAATGATATTTCATTGCTCTTCTGCTTTGAGCCCGCAACCGCACCCCATGCCCTCTTTTGTTGATCAAAAGGCTTCTCCCCTTCCTTCCTGCTCCTCGTTCCGCGTATTTCTTGCATTTCTCAGTTCAAGCCTCGCTGCCATCAAGATGCAGGAATGGCTGCACCATAGCCTCTCGGAGACTCCCGCTGAACTGCTGCATGAACTGGTGGTACGCCCCAATTTTTTCCAGAATAATTTGTGCCGCACAAAGCTCCTCTTGGAAGTTCACAAGTGGAAGCGTGTTGCCAAAAATGTCGTATAGACTTTGCCACACTTTAGCGGCTTGCTCTCTGATGATCTTGAGATAATATAGCGCATGCTGCAAGTTGGTTTCGAGCTGTAGTTCCGATAGCAGTGTTTCTATAGTTTCCATGTGCTGCGAGAGCTTAATCTTTTCCTGAATATGAGGTGGGTGACTGGCAATCCACTGCTGCATCTGAACAACTTGTTGCTGTACCATGTCCTGCTGATCTAGATGCAGCTGCAACTTGTTTCGTGCCTATGCAACCAGCCAGTCTACCTGTCTGTGCATTGTGACGCCCCCAATCTAGCCTGTGCTAGACCATTCTCTAGCGCTTTGTGGAGCTTGTTGGTGGTTTTTACAAGCTCTTTGGATTCGAGTCCAGATTAAAGTCCTTTAGGCAGTGAATCCAAAAGCAGCAATGCAGCTTTTGCCTTGTTTTGACACTCTGTGACAGCAGAGAGGAGAACATTTACCTGCAGCGCAACACTCGATGAACCTGGTGCCCACCTCTGTGCCACCTTCAATGCCGCCATGGCGCCTCGCAGCTCCTTTTGCAGAGTCCGTGCTTCTTTTACCCACATGGTGGTAATCTTATTCAGAAACTGCTTTATTAGTTGTGAGCATTCCTTTTGCACCATTTGGAAAGTCGCTTGTAACTGCGGAGGCAGCTGATGTAGAGAAGCGAATCGTGCTGCTGCCTTTAAAACGGGTAAGGCCCTCAACAGTGGACCCTCAAGGGCCTCCTTACTTTGCAGAGGCCCCTGCAACACAATCTGTACATCCCGCCTTACGACAAGCAATGACGATAAAAGTTTGGGAGTCATATCCTGCAACTTCTGCAGCTTTGCTACTGAAAGGCCAGCTGCTGCTCCATCGCCAGTAAGATGAGAAAGTCCTGCAGCGACTCTGAGACTGGGTGCAGTCGCTGTTGGAAGGGGGAGACGTGGAGGTGCTGAGACCGATCCACGCTTACCTGCGCCCCCGAAGTCAATCTATTGATTTCCCACCACGCGCACGCTCACTGATCTCTAGGGCTTGGTGCCTGACTTGCTTTGTTCGTCTGCTGTTGCATGCGATTTTGTTCCTTTCAACGTGCCAGGCTCTGACTCCACTCTGACCCAAGAAACAGGCAGCTTTCCCTTTTTGTGAAAGGCTCTTTTCCACCAGCAGTGGCGGGGATGAAGAGCTCTGAGTACCAGCTTCGGCAGCTGCAGAGGAGCCACACTTTGCATCACATGCCTTTTGGAGGTCTTGTTTTGCTGCCTCCAGATGTGCTGATTCCTCTGTCATTCCATACGCATTCAGCATGAGAACCAGGGTATTTGCATTGGTCAGTAGG